GGCCCGTGTAACGTATCTGACCCGAATCACGTCCACAGACGAAAAGCCCCACTGTGAGTATGCGCTGAAAACTACATGGCAGAAAAGTGCCACTGGGTGTGTGTTCTTTGCGACGCTGCTGACTAATAGGAAGAGAGAGCGAGAGGGAGGGATGGGAGGGAAGGGAGAGAGAGTGGGTTGAGGGGTGGAGGGGGGGGGAGGGGGAGGGGGAGGGGGAGGGGAAGGGAAGGAGGGAGGGAAGGGGGAGAGAGAGAGAGAGAGAGAGAGAGAGAGAGAGAGGGTTCGGCTTCATTGCAGGCTTGGGGCTGCAAACACAGATGGGGGAACCCACTACGAAAAAGTTCTGTTGTTCCAAGACTTTGGGTCCCTTTTTGGGCCTCCCCCCATGAGGAAGGACCTGTCCTAGGTGTTTCAAGGGTACACATAATTTTTTGGGCCTACGATAGACTCACGAAAACGCCTGGTACTCTCAAGAAATGGTCCACCCCTTCAAAACTGGTTTTTAGGGTCGGACGACCAGTTCTTCGAATTTACAAAGGGGTCGGTTCAATAAGCAATAGTTGTGGGTCCTCTGAAAAAGTGCGAAGGACTAGTCCCTCAACAAATTGAACCCCCAAAGAACCCCCTTATCCACTGGTCATCCACCGCAAAAATTGTGCCACAGCCCTTAGGCCTGCAAAGTCCTCGTCATATATTGGATTCGAAGACAAAAACTAAAAATAAAAATTGTAAGTTGTATTTCTTTTTTATTTTCTCTACATATTGACGCCCAGCTTAGCTCAACTGGTTATGCAGGCAAATGGCAAATAGTCGGTTCAATCCCCACATGGGGCACTCTTGGTCCAACCAGATGAGGTAATTCCCCTGGTCGCTATCAATAGGGTCTGTAGCCGACACGGATGTGAGTATGTGAGTGGGTAGTATGTGTAGAAGATGAAAAGGGAGACGCAACTCTTAGCAAAGTGCTCAGTCTTTGTGTTAGCTAGACCACCATTGGCGGCCCACCTGGCTCTCTGATTACAGTTGTTAGGGCAGGAGACAAAATGCAATCCCTTCATTGTGAAGTAGATATGCTTACATGGTTTCCTTGTATAGACTTAGGAGCAGTGGTAGGTGGTGAAAGGTGAGTTCGAGAGAATTTACGAAAATTTTTAAACCTGAAGAGTGATCGATAGAGGTTATTACTTTTGCATTCGTCGTTAATGTACTTTCTTCAACTTTGCTCTATTATTAAAAATCACAATTTTTTGTGGTTTTTTTTTTTCACTACCAGGGTTACCTGACCGAACGTTCGGGGGCCCCCGGGCTGGCCCCCGAACATTCGGGCGTTCGGGGGCAAAAAACCTCCAGGTTTGGCCCCCGCCAAAACAATTTTCGGGCCCTAAAAATAAGTTATTTTTCTGAAAATTTTTTCATGAGTTCTCTATGATGTAACGTACACGCGTATAAATTTTGAAGTCATTCTGCTAAGCCAAAAAAACATTAAAAATCGTCAAAGATCGGGGTGTCAAAATGTGCTCGCCCACTCACTATTTTGTTTTTCTTCACTTTTAACTTTTCGTTTTCACTTTAATGAGTTATTGATTATGTAAACTACATATCTGTATATTTTCAGGGCATTTGTCAATGTCAAACAATAATTAAAAATCGGCAAAGATGGCGGTGTCGAAAAGGTGCTGGCAAACTCACGCATTTTAATTCTCTTTTTATTTTTTCTTATTTTTATCATAGTGTTTATTTTTTGTATTTGATTTTTAATTCAAATTTGGTTAATAAGCAAATGTTTTTTAGTTTATTTTTCTCCATAACATTTTTGTTTTTGGCGAACGCTTTCCGAAGGGGTCTCGTACGTTCGGGCGTTCGGCCCGTCCCGAACGCCGGCAACCCTGTTCACTACTATATTGTTCAATTTTGCTTTTTATGGTAAGACAAGTGTTATTCCGTTAGTTTACGTCTAAATACTAAAACAATATACAAAAAAACTATATAAAAATTTATATAAAAAAAAATTATACAAATTATTTATTTTTGTTATTATTGTTAATTATTATTGAATATAAATCATGAAGTGTACATTTTGTTTGTGTATTAAAAAAATTAATTAGGTTACGTCGTTATATGTCTACTACAATTATTAGTCAATGTTGAAACTTATTGCTTATGCGTGGTTATGGGGTGTACATACAGAGTTTTATCATTTTGCTTTGCGTTCTTGTGATAGTATTTAGTTTGGGATTTGACAATGTATAAAATACAATGTCGAGCACATCGACCTCCACCCTTTCCTCGCGAAGAGCCGGGAACCCTCCCAGTCGTGCCATGCAGGAATAAAAAAAAAAAAAAAAAAAAAAAAAAAAAAAAAAAAAAAAAAAAAAAAAAAAAAAAAAAAAAAAAAAAAAAAAAAAAAAAAAGACAACTCGGGAATGACGTATAACAACCCTGCGAACCGACAAGGCGGTCTCAGTAGTGTCGCCCCTTCGCCGCTCTAGTCGGGTGCGCCAACTGTACATCCCGCGGTCCCCTACGACAGGATAGGTTCCCGTGGGGCATGTTTTGCTTTCCCTAAGGGGTTGTCACCACCCTTAGGGGCGTATCCCTACCGAGCTATTGACCCACGTGCGAAAGTTTTTAGATGCAATCACAGAGGTAGATCAACCGAGGGCGTTTGCTCGTTCGATGTAGTATAGATACGCTTGGTTAACGCCACGCGAACCCAAACGTCGTCCGTTCCTTAGGGCGCTGATCTCTTAAGTACGGAATGAACGTCGGTCGACTAGGACTGTCTCAACCAAGCGTGAAACCATAAGGTAATCCTAGTCCTTTGACAACTCTTTGAAAACAAAAACAATAGAGTCAATATACCTCACATCATGTCACACAAGATCGATTTTTGACTTGCTGAGGTGAAAAGCATCAATGATGTATCACATACGCAGTCAGACCTGCATCACCATGCACAGAATACACGAACATGGCTCAATTGTTGCACGTTATCAGAATGGCGAAAGAAGAAAACACGATGAGGTGGATCGCCAAAGTTATTATACTCGGCCTATATGACTGAAATTATTTATACCGGCATTTTCGAAGTCAGAAGCTCGCTATAATAAATTAGGAAAGGACCAATATTTGAGCTTCTGGTTCATTGTTTAACTCAGTGAAGTTCTTTCATCATTTCAATCAACTTACGCACGACATACATTGTTATGCGTTTAATTACCCCTCAATGCATAAGCATGATGGTGCAATCATCGAGACAATTTAAATGCTATCCATTTGGTTGGTCCTATCTACGAAATATTTATATATTTTTATTATTACCCTTGTAGAGTCATATAAACATAACTCTATCATAAGGACACTTAATGTGGCACTTCAATATCGTAAAAAACGCATATAGCCGAGATAAAGTTGTCGGCCCTCGCGGGCCTCTGCTTCAATCTGGTCGAGTCGTGTGGGCTCCTCATCATCAAAAGTCAAGATGGTAATGCGCCCACCTCTCATTACTCGAACCATCCGCGTACCATAGAGGGAAGCCATTCGTGCGGCTAGCCTCCAAACTATGGCGCGAAATGGTTGTCGCATTCGAAAAAGGTGCCTAGTTGTAGTGTCCCTAATCCGAATAACGTCGTAGCGATCTCCGAATAGGGTAATTTTAACACTCACAATGACCCGAGAAAGGCATTGGAGGTTGCTCACTTGATGAAAATATAAAGTATATCCATAAAATTCATTCGAAAGTCGGACCACATTTGAACGAATATCCGCACGCGAGTGAGGAAAAAATCCTTGTCCGTCTCTGAGCAAACCAACGACACCAACCCAACGAATGGGTGTATCATCTTGAACAAATAAAAGTCGCTCTGTGCACCAAATCATCTCCTCATCCATACCGTTGCAAACCAACATATATTTTGCTTGAGTGAGATCCGGTCGTCCAGTAATCATCTGCACACCCGAAGGAATCGTCATTTAAAGAGACGTTTCCCGATCTCATAAGCCTCATTATCAAATGCGATAACGTCAAAACGCTCAATGCGAAAATATTAAATTTATAACAGAAAAATTTCGACGAGAAATGAAAGTTAAAAAAACATTCCATAAAAAAAGAATCCTGCATATTTATAAATTATCATTCCAATGTTAGTCCAATTCTAAAATTTTCAGTTTTATTTGATAAGTTCCCGTCTAAATATGAGTTTTCCCTTCCAACTACATCTATTTGTTAAAGATGGAATGAAATTCTGGACGAGTTTATGAAATGTTTTAATTAATTTTGCATTCTACTACAAAACATATCTTCTAATTTAGATTGGATTAACCTATTTATGACGGAAAATCCTTATTTAGAATGACAGTTTAATTAAAATATTTCATGAACTCATCCAGACTTTCATTCCATTTCAAGCATGCAGTCCAAATAAGAAGGGATACCCTATTCTTGGAATGAAAGTTTGCGAGTAAGATAAATATTTTTTTAATTGGAATGACATTTTTTAAGATGGAATGAAAATTTAAAATTTAGATTGTAATTTTACTATAGAATGATTATTTAATTCTGGTAATTTTTTCCGTTGTATTCGCTCGTACCCGTCTCACATGATGAAAGAGACTGAATGGACCTTGCTGATCATTCAGCCATAGCATAATGTAAAGAAACATCATTATAATCTCAAGAGTGTCTTCTATAACTAGATTTTCTTCATGAACTACG